AATAATTATTTTACTTTCTATATTAATTTTATTAATTTTATTTAGGCACGTGAAAATTTACTTACAAATTCTTCACAAAATCGAGAAACTTTAACATTAATTGAAAATGCATTATTTATAATTAATTTGGATGATTATTCAACGGGAATGGATTTTGATAAATTTAGTCAAAATATGTTTCATGGATTAAACGCTCATAATCGTTGGTTTGATAAAGCAATGTCTATTGCAATAGAAAATAATGGACGTGCGGCTATGAATGGAGAAGTAAACATAATTACAAAATTATTATTAATTTTATTTATTTATAAATTAATTATTAAAATTTCTTCTTATAGCATTCACCTTGTGATGCTCTTATACCTTCAATTATTTTTCAATGGATTGGTCTTGAACCAACCTTACCAAATACACCAGTTTCAGGACGTTCAATTATTTCACCAAAAAGAATTAGATTTACAATAAATGAACAAACATTAAAAGATATTTTTGAAGCACAAAAAAGAATTGATCCTATGATTGCTGATTCTGATATTGTTATATTACAATTTTCAGAATATGGTATTCAATTTATTAAAAAAAATGGTATTTTAAAATTTTAATTAATTAATTTATTAAGAAATTTATATATTTTATATTATATACTTATTTTATCAATTTATAGCAAAATGTTCACCAGATGCATATATACAAATGGTATTACAATTAGCATACTTTAAAACACATCAAAAAGTTGTTCCAACTTATGAAACTGGATCAACTCGACAATTTTTACATGGACGTACTGATACAATTAGAACACTTAGTTTAGAAAGTAAAGCATTTGTTGAAGGAATGGAAAATAAATCATTAACTGTAAATTATTTTTTTTAATTTTTATAAATTGTTTATAAATATTAAATAATTTTTTAATTTAATAGGTACAACAAAAATATAATTTATTACAAGCAGCAACAAAAGCACATAGTATTTATTCACAAGATGTTTCTAATGGTAAAGGTTGTGATCGTTATTTATTAGGATTAAAACTTTTACTTCAAGAAGATGAATCTCATCCAATGTTTACAGAAACAATTTTTATTAAAAGTCAAGAATGGATTTTAAGTACAAGTGGTCTTAATTCTGGTGATAAATTAAATGGTAAATATAAATAAAAAGATTTTATATAATTATATAAAATAATTAAACTTAATTTTACTTTAATATAGGTACTGGTTTTGGATGTGTTTATCCTAATGGATATGGTATTAATTATCTTTCTGGAGAATATTTATTAAAGTTTGGTATAGAGTCCAAATATTCTTCTTCTGAAACAGATTCAAATGCATTTAGGCAAAATATTATTAATGCATTAAAAGATATGAAAAAGATTTGTGAACAAATAAATAGTAATTATGAAAAAGAAGGTAGATTATAAATTTATAAAAAAATTATTTTTATATTTTAATAAAAAATATATATTTCAATTATAATAATTATATTTATAATTTAAATTAAATATAATTATATTTTAAATAAAAACTTAAAATTTTATATATTATTATCTAAATAAATTATCCCTTAGTTTGTAAGACTTCACAAATATATTTACCTGCAAAATTTTCAAATTTTCAATCCTCATCTAAAAATTTAATATGCATTACAAATAATAACAAATTATATATTTTTGAATAGTAAAGGTTTCAATTTTATATGCAAGATAATTTTTTTTATCTAGAAAAATATAAATAAAAAGTTTACTATACACTAAATAGATTGCATTTTTTATAAATTTTAAATTTTCGTAAAAATTCACTATTAGACTTATAAATTTATTTTAGAATAAATTTTAGTTTAATCATGTCTTAAGAAAGTTTGTAAAGCAATCAAATTTATAAAATTTTATAATTATTTAGTTTTTATTTATTTAATAAAGTATATTTATAGTATTAGTAAAAAAAATACTAATAAAATACAATACTAGGGAATAGCGAGGGCCGTTGTGAAATCTGAAGCGTGAAAGGCGCATGGATGTGGTAGAGATGTGAAGAATTTGTAAGTAAATTTTCACGTGCCTAAATAAAATTAATAAAATTAATATAGAAAGTAAAATAATTATT